ACCCCCCCGCACCCGTTGGGCGAACCAGTACTTAAAAAACGAAACCCCCCAGGCACGTTGGGCAGACCAGTACTCGAAAAAAAAATCCGAAACCCCTCCAGACCTGTTGGCGAAACCCTTCCAGACCCGTTGGGCAGACCAGTACCAAGCCAAAACCCCCGAAGCCTTTGGGCAGACCAGTACTCGAAAAAAAATCCGAAACCCCTCCAGACCTGTTGGGCAGACCAGTACTTGAAAAAAAGCGAAACCCATCCAGACCCGTTGGGCAGACCAGTACCAAGCCAAAACCCCCGAAGCCTTTGGGCAGACCAGTACTCGAAAAAAAAATCCGAAACCCCTCCAGACGTGCTGGGCAAACCAGAACTTAAAAAAAATCCGAAACCCCTCCAGACCCGTTGGGCAGACCAGTACTAAGCCAAAAATGCCGGGCCCTTTGGGCAGACCAGTACTCGAAAAAAAAAATCCGAAACCCCTCCAGACGTGCTGGGCAAACCAGAACTTAAAAAATCCGAAACCCCTCCAGACCCGTTGGGCAGACCAGTACTAAGCCAAAAATGCCGGGCCCTTTGGGCAGACCAGTACTCGAAAAAAAAAATCCGAAACCCCTCCAGACCTGTTGGGCAGGCCAGTACTTGAAAAAAAACGAAACCCTTCCAGACCCGTTGGGCAGACCAGTACCAAGCCAAAACCCCCGAAGCCTTTGGGCAGACCAGTACTCGAAAAAAAATCCGAAACCCCACCAGACCTGTTGGGCAGACCAGAACTTAAAAAAAATCCGAAACCCCTCCAGACCCGTTGGGCAGACCAGTACTAAGCCAAAAATGCCGGGCCCTTTGGGCAGACCAGTACTAGAAAAAACGATCCCGCCCGGACCCGTTGGGCTAACCAGTACTTAAAAAACCCGACCGAGCCAGCATCAAACGAGGTTGGGCGAGCCTGTATCAAACGAGGTTGGGCGGAGGCGTACTAAAGCGCACGCTCAACCGCTTGTACTGTGGCCGCCTATATCACAGTGGCCCCACAACACAACGTCGCCTGCTTGGTGCTGCTCACTCCTACGGTGCCCGCTCGGCACCGGGTACCCTCGGCACTGTGCCCGCTCGGCACAGAGCCCGCTCGGTACGTCCTAGTGCCCGCTCGGCACGTCTAGCTACAAGTGCCCGCTCGGTACGTCCTAGTGCCCGCTCGGCACGTCTAGCTACAAGTGCCCGCTCGGCACGTCTACCTACAAGTGGTCTACCTACTAGTGCCCGCTCGGCGCTGTGCCCGCTCGGCACGTCTACCTATAAGTGCCTGCTCGGCACTGTGCCTGCTCGGCACGTCTAGTTACAAGTGCCCGCTCGGCACTGTGCCTGCTCGGCACGTCTAGTTACAAGTGCCCGCTCGCCTGCTCGGCACGTCTAGTTACAAGTGCCCGCTCGGCACTGCCCCGCCTCCCCCACGAAGTTCTCCAGGACCTGACACGTACGACAGCCTGACAGGAAAAAACTCAGGGGGGGACGTGTTGGGGGGGGTGAAGCGCATGCCGATTCCAAGCATGTAAAACCATGTCATGCGAAAATCATGTCAAAACCGTGCAAGATCGTGTCATGTGAAAATCAAGCAAAATCATGCCAAAATCCGTGCAAAACCTTGTCATGCGAAAATCAAGCAAAATCATGTCAAAATCCGTGCAAAACCTTGTCATGCGAAAATCAAGCAAAATAATGTCAAACCATGCAAATTCGTGCAAAACAAGCTAGCCCGCCAGGGCGCTCACTGGAGGCGGAAAGAACCGTCTCGGGCCTGGGGAAATACTTTCCCAAGGAGAGGCGCTCGCTGGGCTGGAGGCGGGAAGATCCGTCTTTCCACATTGATCCTCTTTTTAGGAGGCAATAAGATCCGTCTCGGACCTGGGAATTAAAGTCTTTTAAGGAGAGGCGCTCACCGGGCTGGAGGCGGGAAGATCCGTCTCTCCACCATGATCCGTCTCTCCATCTCCACAATGATCCGTCTTGGGGATTTCTCGCTCCCAGGAGAGGCGCTCACCGGCCTGGAGGCAATAAGATCCGTCTCGGACCTGGGAATTAAAGTCTTTTAAGGAGAGGCGCTCACCGGGCTGGAGGCGGGAAGATCCGTCTGCCCTCCATGATGCGTCTCTCCCACAATGAATACGTCTGGGGATTTTCTTGCTTCCCAGGAGAGGCGCTCACCGGGCTGGAGGCAATAAGATCCGTCTCGGACCTGGGAATTAAAGTCTCTTAAGGAGAGGCGCTCACCGGGCTGGAGGCGGGAAGATCCGTCTCTCCACAATGCTCCGTCTCTCCACAATGATCCGTCTCGGGGATTTCTCGCTCCCAGGAGAGGCGCTCACCGGGCTGGAGGCAATAAGATCCGTCTCGGACCTGGGAATTAAAGTCTTTTAAGGAGAGGAGCTCACCGGGCTGGAGGCGGGAAGATCCGTCTCTCCACAATGATCCGTCTCTCCACAATGATCCGTCTCGGGGATTTCTCGCTCCCAGGAGAGGCGCTCACCGGGCTGGAGGCAATAAGATCCGTCTCGGACCTGGGAATTAAAGTCTTTTAAGGAGAGGCGCTCACCGGGCTGGAGGCAATAAGATCCGTCTCGGACCTGGGAATTATTTCAGTCTCTTAAGGAGAGGCGCTCACCGGGCTGGAGGCGGGAAGATCCGTCTCGGGGATTTCTTGTTCCCAGGAGAGGCGCTCACCGGGTTGGAGGCGGAAAGATCCGTCTCTCGGCGGCTCGGGTAGAGGGAGAAAAATGAATTCCCAAAAAGGCACTCACCCGAAATAATGATCCGCGCCCGGGTGGAATCGAGCCTGCGGTCTGCAAGCTTCAGAGCTTCAGAGCCTCTTCCAATTGAGCTATGGACCCTTACTAGTCAAGCACGGAGACCCCTGTGCCAGAGAGCGTCACCAGCTGATAGGCTATCAGGTGGATGAACACATCAGTCATCGTACCGTCGAGCGCCTTGAATGTGAACCGAGCCAGGTCGCCCGAACGGGTGCTGACGCCGCTCAGGGGCATCTTGGGCACGCGCTCTGTCGGGAAGCCCGCTATGAAGCTGTGGCGCATGTAGCCCGCGCGGTCGATGTCGATGTTGCGCACCGTGTCGTCGTAGGTCCCCGCTAGGACCGATAGGAAGTGGAAGTGCTCAGAGGCTCCCTTCATAGGATTGTGCGGGTACTGCAGGCTGCCCAGCTGCATCTGCGACTCCAGGAGACTGTCTTCCTGCCTGGCCGCTCCGATGGGGGCCACGTCCTGTCCCGGGTTGGCCAGCAAATGGATCTTAGAGCCCGCGTCGTTGTCCCAAAAAGTCACGAACGCTCCCATGAGTTTCGTGAAGGCGCGCGCCACGGTGACGTTGTGCTCCGCCACGCCCGGAGGCACCGTGGACTGCTGCGTGTGCACCGTGGGGTAGCTGAACACAAGCGACCTTCCTGAGAGGAGCACGCGGTTGAACGACTCCACGAGAGCTGAGTCTAAAACGACCTGGGAGGCCAGAACTCGGACGTTCTGGATCTCGAAGTCGGTGCTCAGCGTGGCCCCCGCCGGGTGCGCCCCGGCGGTCTCGGACCACAGCGCAGTCGTCGCGTCCGCGAACTCGATCTCTATCACCAGGTTCAGCTGCGGCGGCAGCATCTTCCCGCAGCGCAGGATGCCCACCATTGTGGGGCGCAGCAGCACGTCCGCGTAGCCGCTCTGGTGCACCGCGCGGGGCGTCCGAGAGTTGTTCACCTCGTCGAAGCCCTCCACGGCCTTGTTCTGGTTGTACTCGCGGCCCTTCAGCAGGTCATGCACGGCCACGGTGCGACCGTAGTAGTTTATGT